CACATTTTTGTCGCCACCTACTCAGAGCACCCTGTTAACGATATCATTGAAAGCTACTTCTTATTATTTGGTTATCATGTGACCACCTGAATACTCATTCCAGCAGAAATGGGTATTGAAAATGCATGGAAACAGGTAGGAGGAATACCTCCCTTCTGCACCCATCACCTGCATTTAGGTCTGTATAAAGCAAGTACAAAAATTCCATTTAAAGCCTAGAGAGGGCCAAAGGTCTCACAACAGTTCTTTGAAAATCCTGCAACAGAACAAATGCTCCTCCAATTCCTCTGCTGTCACAGCTATATTACATCAATCTTAGGTCCCCACTACAAATACATGTTACTAGCACCTTAAAATATCACAGCTCACAGTCATTCTTCCATAAGATTGTGAAGAGTAGTAAAATAATGAACAGTAATATACAATCAAATATCCGTATTTTAAACTCTTTAAATATTAGCTCACTCTATCTTCACACAGCAGGCAAGAAGACCTCAAGTTACAAATTAACAGTGTCTGCTAGAAAGTTCTTAAAAGGTAAAGGACTTTTAGAAGTTAATTCAAAGTCTTTTGTAAAGATAAGTAGAAGCACTAAAATAAGAAAACCATATACTTTTACAAACCTAGTCTAATTTAAAAGCAGTAATGCTGAGATAAGATAGGTGAACTCTTAAAGAAAATAACAGAAACCAGTGAGATAACACCATCTGTTGGAGAGAAGAAATACAAGACTGACTACACAGAAAGAAATGGTTTTTCTTTTTTCCTCTCCTCAATTTCTGGCACAAAAGGCATACAGAAAAGTGTCTTCTCAATGGCTGAAACACTGGTCCCAATCTGACTGCCATGCTCCACATGACATCTTTTTTCTTAGAGCCCTACAGAGCAATAATTCTCGCTTCAATCTCCAGTTTTAATGCAATATGTCAAGAATAAAAAACCGGGAAATTGTAGTTTGTTATAAGATACATCAGGAATAAAAGGTTATTACAAACAGATTAGTCCAGGGTGGAAATGACACAGGCTAAGCAGGAGGCATGGATAATCTGGGTAAGTGCCATGGAAAAATAAATATCATGATTGAACTTAAGGCAAATGGAAGCAGTTCAAATTGGCTTCCTCCAAATCACTGCAGAACATGTGATGCCCACATGTCCATTTCTAACAAACTTCACCATAAACAAAGACCAATACTGTGAAGTGCTGAAAAACACATCTAGCACCAGCTTCTTCCATGCCACAATGTGAATTATTGTAGCTGCCCAATAAGCAAGAAAGAAGAGTTTGGGCTTTTTTTGTCTTTTTTTTCCCCTTCTCTTTTGTAAAAGAGCTACCAGCATTTTTTTTTAAGCACACCAACCTGTCAGTAACTGTTGACCTTTCAAAGAAGAGGACATTTTATAAAGCACACGTTGCCTTTCTATAGTTGGTCTAAAAGGCTCAAGAGCAGTAACTCCCCTCAGCCCATTTCCTCCGTCCACTACATGCTCCTACAACTTCTCTGGCCCAGTTCTAGGAGGTTTCTATCACATTAACTTTTCAGAACATCAGTAGCTTTAATCCAGCTACATGTGAGGCCACAAAAATGTTAGTGTTTGCTTAACAGAAAAGTCAGGAACTCCTGGCTACGGACAGCATATCTCTAACAGCAGCAGCCCACACTTAAATTGATCATAAAAATTTCAGCCTTGCAGGAATAACTGATCTCATCATTGCATGAACATGAGGAAAAATTTTAGTAAGGGTAGCCTAAAGAAGGACCTCAAAAGAAGCCATGCATAAGTTTTAAGACTAGTTTTATGGCAAAGTGCTATTAATCTACCTGTTATTAAAGCCAAATACCAGCAGCAGAAGGATCATATGAAAACTATGCAGCTTAAAGAATGTTCAGCCAAAAACAATTCTTACATGACAATTTGAGATCATGGCTTAGTTAGCAAAGACAGAGGATATTTCACAAGCATGTTACCAGTTTTTAGCAATAAAGCACACAACTGTTACAGTAAAATAGTCCATTCTCCATGCTCTCATTAAAGATTAAAAATAGGGAATTTAGAAATAAGGACAGATATCACAGGCAGAGGAGTGACTGAACAAAATAGCTAATGGTTTGAATGAAGTTTTGTCTGGGGTAGGACCTAATGTTTTATCACTACAGGACAGCATGTATGTTGCAGTCAATGGGGACATGGGAATCCAGCTGTTAAAACATGGCTGCAGCTTCAGAGGAAGAGATTGAGTCTTGATCTAGAACCACAGTGAAGTCTCTTTTAATTAACTCCACTACAAATTGCTAACTGCTCATCACAGCAGAGCAATCAAAGGCAGATGCAGAAACTGCTAGCCACATTAACCCCAGGTGCTGCACAATGCACTGCAATCAACAAGCTTTTAGCCCTGCTTTTAGCCCTCTAGGTTTGAATGATTTTTTTAAATCAGAAAATATCTTGTTATTTCTACTGGCTGTATCACCATGTTTTAGGGCAACCTTGAGGACATCTGTATTTTTCCCTCCTTTAAAACTACCTGAAAATACTCCTCCTTAAAAAAAAACCACAGAAAATACAGAAGTTTCACTTTTCATCCTTAGCAAAAGCAGAAAAGGACTCTGACATTGAGTATGCAAGGCAGTCCATAATTCTTAGATGAATAAAGCATTAAAACTACTGAGCTGGCAAGTGTTCTTGACCTTTGAGCCTCAAACCAAGTGTGACAACTACAGCTCCTGTTGAACTCAGGTTTGCAGCAGGAGCAAGTGAAATAGCATGGATGACACTTATAGTCCAATACACTATGACAGGAATACTTAACCAGGAAAAAAAACTGTTTCCTCTTCCCACTCCCACCTGAAATTCCATTTTGCACCCCCCACTTCTTCTTTCCCAGCTGAAACTAGTACAATTCTTTGGAGTAGTCAGTGTGGTTAAGCAGAGGAAGCTATGCTTGTTTGCATGGAATCTGCTATTTCCTCTCTGCCAAAACACTTGTTTAAAGAAGTCATGTACTATTTCTATTAAGCTGTAAATGCAGTTGACAAGGAAATGGCCTACTGGCAGTGCATTACCTTTGTGGCAGTGCCAACCAGCCTACAGCAAAACAGTGTGCATGGTAATTTCACTGTGCATTCCCAGGCAACAAAATTGTGCCTTACATAAATACCACAGAACTCTAGCAACATCTAGAAAAAGCAATGAAAATTTGCCCAAGCTTTCATGCTTGCCTGTATCAATTCTGTGTCATAACTAAAACAAAGCATCTACATATGGCCAAAAGTCCTGTGAAGCTATATCATATGACACCAGAAAAACTATTGCAACTTAAATTTGTGTATTTCTTGTTAACCACTGTAACAACTCACTAATAAAAATTAAGAAAAACTGGAGGTATCAAATATACAAAAGAGTACTAACTACATACAAGCCCTTAAAAACCATAACATAATTTATTAACAAGAACACATGTTGTATGTAATCCAGAATTGTGTTAAATTACGTTGGCCTTTGATAGCATTCACTTGATTGCAAGAATTAAACAGATGCACAAGCATTCAAACTCAGTGACCTTTGATTTATAAGCAGCCATTGTCATGCACATAAAAATCCTCTCTGATAATGCAGTGCTCACCTTTCAACAGCTGGTGCAACCACATACAGTAATGTTATTCAGATGTAATTAAGGCATTTTTGTTAGAAGTATAACCAAAAATCCCAGCATGATCAAGTGTAGCTAATTTGTCATCAATTATGCTTCAAATTATTTTTAGAGGCTCTTCCACGTTAACTTAAATTCCCATCAAAATCCAGCTTCAGAGATACTTATTTTGTTCCCAGTTTTCACCTGAGCATTTTTATTTTGAATTGTAATTTTAAAATAGTTAATTGCAGGGAAAACAAATATGGTGTACAAATATGATTAAACTTTGCTTCTAAAATTATGTAATGTTTCTAAATGAAAATCACTCACTAGCTTTAACAGAAATTTCAGGAAACTTCTCTCCTCCAAAGAGCACACACAACGAAAAATCAAGAACCCCACAAACAAAAATACCACTAAATACACTTGAATTCAGATGTGCATCACCTTACAGTAATCGTATATGAACAGCACCTTCTCTTTCTACAGTGGTGGCTTCTTTATATTAAGATTCTGACACATGAGACACCAGTAAAAGAAAACTGAATAAAATAATTCAGTATATATAACAATTTTGCAGCAAATTGCAAAGATTCTTCTGGGAAAAGGTATGCTTTAAGCAATATAAAATGCCTTCTTAATTCAAAGTGGGTTTTAAACAACTTAAGAGTGGAGTGCTTATTGATGCTCACTGCAATCAACATAGCTGTTCTATAGCTCATTACAAAAATAATAACAGCATGACTAACAGTGTCAAGTTATCCCAAGATAAACATTCTTTCCCATTAACTTCTCCAAGTAATTCCTTTGTAATGGCTACTCTTCATAAAGCAACTAATTCTATCTACATTTTATTTTACAAAAAGTAAACTAATTTAGTAAGAGACCTTAGGAGTCACTAAAAAGATGTCAGGTGTTCCTAATGTTATTGTTATTATTTATGTATTATGTATTATTATTATTATTAGCACTGCTCCCATAGGACAGTTCTGAACTCTTCTTTAGGTCACCTTTATTTCAAAACTGCCTTTCAAAAGCAAACAGACTCTTGCTGATGGAAGTCTCCAAGTGCAGGAACAGTGTGAAACAGATTCTATATATTACCCCAAAGCCAATTAAAAGCTTCCTGCTGTAGCTCCCTCTCAAGTGGAGATAAAGGCATTCTGAAACCTTACAGAAACGTGTTAAAACACAGGCAAACTGGAGTCAAGAGGAAGCAATACAGAGTGTAAAAATTGTTAGTATTAAAGTCTCACAAACATACAGCTTTATGATTCCAGTATTAGGGGGTTTTGAATGTTTTGTGGGTTTGAGGGTTGTTTGTTTTTTTTAATATAACAAACAGAAAACGCCACCAACACACTTACCCTCATTGGGTGAATATCAGCATATGGAGGCTTTCCTTCAGCCATTTCTATTGAAGTTATACCAAGGGACCAGATGTCTGCCACACAGTTATAGCCAATCTCTTGTATGACTTCAGGAGCCATCCAAAACGGAGTTCCTATAACAGTATTACGTTTTGCCATTGTATCCTGCAATTATATTATTTATGCAATTAAACCAGAGATGCTTGTTTTCAGATTATTTTTATATCAATTCTGTATTTAAAGGTGAAATGGTAGTGACTTCCAATTAAAACCAAACAGATTCAGCCCATCAGACTGCAGAGGCCAAAGAGGTGGAAATAGTCATAAATCTCAAACTAATATTTAAAGGGATCATCAGGCATTTAATACACTGGGTTATAAAAACAAACAACTAAAAGCTAAATAGCCCTGCACTACATTAAATACTCACTGTGATAAAGAATCTTAGTTCTGCCACTACCACTAGTGGCAGAGACATTGCTGAGACATAAAATTCAAGGCAGAAGACAAAGGTGAAAGAACAAGGTTGGGAGCACTATACCATTTTTAAATCATCTTTCCACAGTTACTTACTGTTAACTGGCCAGCCACACCAAAATCAGCTAATTTTGCATGTCCCTCGGTGTTAAGAAGGATATTTCCAGCTTTTATATCTCTATGTATTTTTCTCATAAAGTGCAAGTATTCAAGTCCTTTAAGAGTAGATTTCAAAATAGTTGCAATTTCATCCTCTGTTAGCTGCAAGAAAACAAACCCATTTTCAGGTATACACATAAGGTCCATATATTAGATTTATTTAAATCATGATCATTTTATTTGTTATAAAGAGCATAAAATGCTTGACTTTCTTTTTTTTTTTTTTTTAGCAGACCATAAAAACTTCAGTTTTAAAGCTAAAAAAATTAATAAATATAAAGTATTAAATGCCAACTGTAGAGAAAAAATGTGTAGACTTGGCAGGCCAAAATGCTTCTGATAAATCTAGTATACTGCAGAGTCACATGTGATCACAAATGCTACAATAAACTGAAAGTCAACTGCCAACAAGCTGACAGACATCTCATTACTAAAGAAAATACAACATAGTGAAAAAAATTGAGACATATTTTCTTTTATTTGCTTCATAAACAACAGACTCTTGAGTAAGTCATCAGTTAGCACTGGTTTATCCTCATCACTTTAGATCAACTCAATAAGAACACATAAGTTCCTGAACAAGTGTTATCAGAGAAACAGCAGGAGTCTCTTCTTCAGGCACCAGACCCCATTGCAAACACTTCTCTGATTTTCATCAGCATTTGTTCTCAAATAAAAGCAAAAACATGCACATATAATTCATTCCATGTGATGCAATTGCTCAAGGAAATACAAAGAAACTATCCATACAACTGAAATGCCAGTTAATTACAGTACCTTGATGCTTCAATATAACAACTAAACACACATTCTCAGAAATGCAAGAAACTGCAAAACTGAAGATGAATACTCTGATTTGACTGCAATGCTGGGTTGCATTTTCCCCCTCTTTCCTCTACTTTTCCAATCCTACAAAGAAATTAAATTAAGCAATAGCAATTCCTTCCAGTTTCAGTTCTGAAAGCGTTGGGAGACATCCACACCTCTCTCCAACAACCACCAAAATCCCATAAGAAACAAAAACCCACTTGCAATCGCTCTAAGCCAAAAGAATGAATCAACAAAAAGGAAAAAAAAAATTATTAGTCAGCAAGATTATCTGCACTTGAGCTGCTCACAACAAGTTTTAATTATTCAACAAACAGAACCACTTCCTTGTTGCAGCTTCTATCTGGTCTCATAAAACCTAGGTGTGGAGCCCAAGGGCACAGTTGCACATGCATTTATTTAAACAGCAGTCCCAAGCTCCAGTCCCTACTTTCCCTGCAACCTACAGCAGTAATTCACACTGTGTTTCAGCCCTTCCACTGAACAACTGTAAGACAGATCTTAGTTGAAAACAAACCTGTCTCCCAAATTATTTTTCCAATGAAACAGTTCCTGAATTCAATTCATGGCATAGTAAAGAAGGACAAAGCAAAGTAGCTGCTGCTCAAACTGGCACTGCTTTCAAAAAAGTGCATGTGTTGATAAACCCCAAGAGTTCCAGAGACTTTTATAAACCTTCTCCAATGCAAGCAGAAAATGAAATTGATGGTTTTATATTAGCTCCAAGGCAAGCAGTTACCGCCTCTGCTGTGCATTATGCATTCCTTGCCCACTATGTATCTCCAAGCTCTTTCAGAGTTTCTATTCAGCAGCATACTGCTCAAAGCCTTTATTTGTGCAACTTTATGCTGACTGCTATGCTGCTTCAAAGGACCGTATGCCAGAAGAACTGAAAACCCTGTTGTACACAGTTCAAATAAGGCAACTTTCCTGGAATTGTGCCATGGGAGTAAAACACCTACATGATCTGGAGTCAAGTAAGAAGGGACTTTAAATCAACTGTAAGATAAACTTAAGTATGGTCAAAAGGGTATTTGGAGAAAGAGACAATCTTCATTATGTAATCTAAAAATTCTACGGTGAATCACTAAAACTGTGATTATTTGCAGACTCACATTTCAGGCAATTTAAACTCCGGCTACTAAACAGTGTATCTTGAAAGGTTTAAGGCATTCTGAGTGTAACACTTTCTGCCCAGGCTTTGCCAAATCCTCCCAATTTCAGAAACAATACAATATCCTGAATCTCCAAAGACTTCCATGCAGATAAATCCTGAACATGCAACAGAAAATGATCCTGAGCACTTACAAATATGTAGCAAGATAAGCACACAACTTTCTTCCTACTTTCATCTAGAAAAGAAGTATTATAAACTATGGTGCTTAGCAGACACGGCAGAGATCTCTCTTCAATATGTTGTGCTCCTAAGGAGGTAAACCTCTAGCTTTAGTTCTTGAAAAATTAACCACATGGAGATCTTTGGATCAGCAGCTCTAGATGGAGAAGTGGTTTTGCAGCTGCATGGCAAAATCCAGCTCTCAAAAGGAGAAGCGAACAGAACACTGGAACCAAAAGCTGGCAAAGAAGCTATGGAGTGAGAATCCAGAAAACCAGAAGAGAATTCTGGAGTACTGCAGCCTGATGGACTGTCTGGGGACCCTCAGCAAAGTAAAGCTCCAGCATGGCTAAATATTACAGAAGAACAAAGCATTTACACATCCAAATACACTAAGTGATCAAAAAAGCCCAGAGAAGTGAATACCACCTCTAAGAAGTAGGCAGAGAGCACAAGTCATGTTTATCGTGAACAGCAATAACAGGGAAGCACAGGAAAAAAGGAAGAACAGATTTACGCTGTTCCAAGACATATCAATCCCAGCTCCAGACGTCCTAGATTTATCCACTTGTGCTTCATATAATCATCATCTATTTAACATGATACAGTCACTAAAATCACTCCTGCTTATATTGCTGCTAAACATGGCCAACTGTGTGTACAATAATACTCAGACAAAACGTTTGGCTTTAATATCTAGTAATATTTAAAAGGATGTAATGAATTATATCCAGCCTTACTCAAGAAGCCAAGAAAGTCCACTCACCTTTCCTAGACAAAATTACCTTCTCAGAAAATAATGCACAGCAATATTGAACACTACCCTGCAATCACCACAAAAAAAGTATTTAAAAATATTTCAGAATCATTAATTTCATTATTTTTGTGCAATTTAAACTTTTAAAACACATACCATCTATGCATAACAGTGAAAGCACATAAATTACAAAGTTCTTCACATCACAGAATCACTAAGTTGGAAGAGACTGTCAAGATCTAGTCCAACCCATGCCTTAACTCCTGAACTAAACCATGGCACCGAGTGCCACATCCAGTCTGCCAAGAGACATGGCCATAGCAGAGAGAATTAACAAAGGGCCACAAAGATGATCGAGGGATTGGAACATCTCTCCCAGCACGAGAAACTGAGAGAGCTGGGACTGTTCAGACTGGAGAAGATAAAGCTCATGGGGAATTTTTTTAATGTATGCAAATAACTGAAGGGAAGGTGCAAAGGGGATGAAGTCAGGCTCTTTTCAGTGGTGCCCAGTGACAGGAACAGAGGCAATGAACACACTCTGAAACACAGGAGACTCCCTCTAAACAGCAGGAAACCTTTTACTGTGAGTATGACTAAGCACTGGAACAGCTTACCCAGGGAAGTTGTGGAGTCTCCCTCCTTGGAAACCATGCAGAAATGGCCCTGGGCAGCCAACTCTAGATGGTCTTTCTGTAGCAGGCTAGTTGGGCCAGATGACCTCCAGAGGTCCTTTCCAACATCAACCACTCAATGATTCTGTATTAGTATAATTTACAACTCCATACAATAAAATGTGGTGCATTTCACACCCATTTGAATAAATCATGGATGGTTTGTTTTAGCTATTTATTTTGTCTATATTTGAAGTTTGAATATCACCCCAAAATAAACAAATTCCAAAATATATCACTACTAATGAATAAGTAAGTTAGTTAACTGTCTGAACAAAAGGCAAGTATGTGTTCCTAAGGAGATAAAATCACTAGCTTTAGTTCTTGGAAAATAAGTGGCTGAGGTCCCTGCTGATTGAAAGCTAGGCACTGTTATTCCAATTTAAAAAAAGGGCATGAGAGAGGACCCAGGAATCTATGTAACTGTTAGTCTAATCTCAAAAACTACAAAACTAATGGAGAGCATCATACTAGTTACTACTGCAAGGCTTGGAAAGCACAATGAAATCATCAGGCGCTGTCAAGATGCGTTCACAAAGGGAAAGTCCTCCTAATACGATCCCTTTCAATAAATAAGGTCAACCACCCACAGTGAATGAAAAGTAAGTGGTGGATACTGGTTTTTAGTTAAGTAAGGCTTATGACAGTGTTCCTCATGGCACCCTTCTGCAAGATGAGTGGATACACAGTGAGCTAGAGGTTGAAGGGTAGGCCTCAAAGGGTTGTAGTGGATGGGGCTACATCTGGCTGGTGACCTGTCACCAGTGATGTACCCTCAATTCTAGGGCCAGTTTTGTCCACTACTTTTATCAGTAATCTGAACGCAGGAATTGAATGCACCATTAGTAAAATTCACTGAAGATACCAAAGTGGGAGATGTTGTTTGAACAAAAAGCCCTGCAGAGGGATTTGGACAGAATGGAGCACTGGGCAATCATGAACAGGATGAAACAGAACAGGCCTGAATGACATATTCTACATCTGGGATGGAGTAATGCAGGGAAAAGCATAAATTAGGAGCATAATGCCTCAAGAGCAGCCCTGCAGAAGGGATCTGTGTGTGCTGGTCAGCAGCAGGCTCAGTGGGAGTCAGCAATGCACCCTGGCAGCCCAGTGGACAAACCCCTTCCTGGGGTACATCAAACTCAGCATAAGTTGACCAGAAGGAAATCATGCTAAATTAACCTGGTCACTTTATTATGAGGATGAAGAGAAAGCTGATAATGTCATTTCATTTGACTTTACAAAGGCTGTTGGTAGTCTCCAATATAAGTTTTTAACTAAATCTGGGGAATCATAGAAAAGATGCAGAAGAACAACCAGCTGGACTGCCAGGCCTAGCAGTGGTTCAAAATGTAACCAAGAGCCAGCTATAAGCAATGTTCTGAGAGATTGAACATAGGGTGAATACTCCCAATATCTTGATCAACAGCCTGAACAACGAGCAAGAACACACCCCATCATGGTCTGTGGGTGAAACAGGGTGGAAACAGTCAGTACACTAAAA